CCAAGATATTCCATTCCTTGACCTCCCCCACCCCACCATGTACCAGTGTATAATGTCAAGAGACCTTCCATTTTGACTAGAATGAATTTGTGTATGGATGATAGGGCTAACATGATCAAGAAACAAAATTAAGTCAAGCTGAGTAGTAATTCCTTGAATGTTTAATACTTCTTGAAGTCTGGAAGCTAGGAAAATTTAGAAGGAGTTAGGTGGCATAGAGGATATAGTGATGGACCTGGAATCAGTGTAACTCAAGTTCAAACCTTGCCTCAGGTATTTACTAAATATATGACCACGGGTCATTTAGAATATAAGCTCCTTGAGGAAAGAATTTTTTGCTTCATTTTGTATCCCCAGCACTTAGCACAGAGCCTGACACATAGTAGGCATTTAATAAATGTTTGTTGATTGATTGACTTAACCTCTATCTGCCTCAGTTTCCTTACCTGGAAGGTGGGGGATAATAATATTCTATACTTCCCAGGGTTGTCAAGAGGATCAAATGAGATGTTTGCAAATCTTAAAGCACTATATAAATGCTAGCCAATCTCTGCCTCCCCCAAAGAAACCTAGAACTTTATAGTATAAAAGTACCCACTAGAAAAGTTAACTCCAACAAGTGAATTATAGAATTACTTAGTCTTTTCATCATAATTATCAATTACGTGGAAAACATTTTTCTAGGCCCTGAGGATACAAAGATTTGGCAGGAAAAAACCTTCAAAGAGCTTATAATCTAGTGGCACATTATGTCTAATATCTATATATGTAGCATATATAGCATATATACATATGAATATATGTATGTATACACAATTTATATAGTGCTTTAAGGGTACATGTGTTATCTCATTTCATCCTCACAACAACCCTGGAAGGTAGATGCTATTATCACTTCCCCATTTTACAGATGAGGAAACTGAGGTAAACAGAGGTTAAGGGACTTGCCCAGGATCATACTAGTAAGACTCTGAGGCTGGATTTGAACTCAGGTCTTCCTGACTCCAGGCCCAGTGTTCTATGTACTATGGCACGACACAACCTAGCATTTGAGGTGGAGAATCTAAACACATAAACGTTCCCCTGTGGATAATGAAGTTCTCTTGATGATCCTGTATAAACTTAGGAAAAAATTTCTTATTGTCCAGGTATGAAATTGGAAGACCAATCCATAGGGCTGGTCCATTACTATGTCAATTACGCCACAGACAGGCAATTAACTGAATCTAGAATTGAATAGGAGGAAGACGACGGGATGGGGAACTGTACATGGCTTTTAATGAACCCAAGCTTCTCTGTAGATAAATTTGGAACTATGCCCAAAGGGCTATAAAACTGTGCATACACTTTGATCTAGCAATACCAGTACTAGGTCTGTATCTCAAAGGGATAAAAAATGAAAAGGAAAAGTATTTATAGCAGCTCTTTTCTGGTGGCAAAGGATTGGAAATTTAGAGGATGCCCATCAGTGGGGAAATGGCTGAATGGAAAATGGCTAAAGAAGTTGTGGTGTATGATTGTGATAGAATACCTAAGAAATGAACAGCAGGATGCTCTTAGAAAAACCTGGAAAAACTTAGATGAACTGATGAAAAGTGAAGCTAGCAGAACCAAGAGAACATTGTACATAGTAACAGCAACATTGTAAGGATGATCAACTGTGAATGACTTAGCTATTTTTAGCAATACAATGATCCAAGACAATCCTGAAGGACTTATGATGATAAATGCTACCCATCCCCAGAGAAGAAAACTGATGGAGCCTGAATGCAGATCAAAACATACTTTTAAAAAAATTTCTTGGGTGTTTTCTTTTTCGGTCTATATTTTCTTTTACAACATGACTATTATGGAAATATGTTTTGTATGATTGCATATGTATAACCTGTATCAAATTGCTTACCTTCCCAATGAGGGGGGAGAAGAGGGAATTTGGAACTCAAATTTTTTTTTAAGCTAAAAATTGTTTTTAATGTGTAATTGGGGAAAAAATGAAATACTAAATAATTTTAAAAAATGATCCCAAGCTTCTCCCTGCACCAAAGACTCATCTTCTTAAAAACCAACAATCTACCATTAGCGCTCTATCAAATTCAGTCCAGCAAGTATTAAAACCTACTTTGTTTAATATATTCTGCTAAGCCCTGGGAATATTAAGATAAATCAGTTTAAACACTATTGTGGGGAGACAAAATACATATAATATTAAATACATAATATATACAAAGAATATGACTGTGAAGCTCTGAATATCACAGTCCCCAAAAGATTCTATATGCTGCAGGTCCCTTGAAGGTCAATGAAAAGGCACATGGGATATGAGCCCACTGGACTCAAATCGAAGGTGAGGCTACTAAACTGTACTTAGGATCTGCCCATGCTCCATGGGCTACTAGCCTAACTCTCACACCCTCAGAGGAGTCAATCCCCAGTGTGTGATGATAACTACTCCCCCTTAGGTCTCTGAAGTTAACCCTGAGAGGTTGGGGGGGGTGTCCTTTCTAGTACCAATCACCCTTACTTCCATGATTATCAGTTGATATCAATTAGACAGCCAAGCTTAATTAGCTTTTAGAAAGTGACATTTTACTAAGATAGTGTGGTAAGAACAGTTGGTACAAAATATCCTCCCCAAAGTCTGTGCCATATTTTTCCACCAATGTATGTTATGCATAGTCCAGAGGAAAGTGAGCTCAAGCTTGGAGAGAGCACATGTGATTCACACAGCTCAGGTCCAGATGGCTGGATCTGGATCCAGGGATGCAGTGCCAAGGGAGGATGCTAGGACACCAGGGGGATGATGGGAAACCCAAAATCCCATGGTCCCTGTGAAACTCCTTTGGCCAAATTTGTGCTCTCCTCCCTCCCCCCAAGTGACTCAGCAGATGTTTGGCCAGCTTGCCACTTGCTTAGATCTCTCTTTTCTGGAATTAGATCTATATGTTTATAGATAACCCACAGGAGGAGACGAAGTTTCTTTGACCAATCCTAATATACTTTCCTCTATAACATCTAGTTATAATAATAATAATAATAATAATAATAATAATAATAATAAACAACCAACATTTGTATAGCACGCACTGTGTGCCAGGCACTGTGCTAAGTGCTTTACAATTAGTTTTCAAGGACTTTTTGCCCTTAGTCTAAAGGCTTGATTGGTTGATACATGTTCTCATGTGGTTAAGGTATCAGGGTATAGAGCATCTGATCACTTTAAGTGGGATGGAGTAATTGATCCACACACTCAATGACTCCACCCCCCTTTACATTAGGATGTAGCAAATTATCCCCAAAGAGCTATGCGCAGCATGAGATGACTTTGTCAAAGAAAATTAAGGTGAGCAGTAATCTGTCGCTGGAGCTCACATCCTCCACTATCTTCTATGTCATGAACTCTAGAGCTGAGGATCCTAGCCTGAGATCCATGGACCCCTAAGGCATCTGTGGATGGGTTTCAGTGGGTTCATGAACTTGGACAGGAAAAGAATCACATCTTCATTTTCACTAACTTCCAACTAAAGTTTAGCATTTCCTCCAAATGTGAATGTAGGCAACAAATCATTATTTTAAGAAAGAGTCCATAAGTTTCACTAGACTGCCAAAGGGGTCCAGGACACCAAAAAAGGCTAAGAACCTCTGGTCTAGGGGAAGGCCCCCAGAATTTTGGGTGGATTTCCTGTGAAGAACTAACAGGAACACATGAACCTGATTCACACAGAGTGAAAAGGTGTGCTACAATCTGCACAACTGGAGAGAATATCTGTGTTACTAATGAAACGACCGATTGGGGGGGGGGGACCTGTGCCATGCTGGTCATGCATCTCCCCCACAGTCTCTGCGTTAAGTCAGACCTGGAGTAGAAAATACCACTTCAGCAGTGAACGTATATACATCCAGATTTAGGGTAAATTGAATTAAAGACTTGAGGGACAATTTGAAGCAAAGGAGAGAAAAGACCCATGGCCATACTAGCAATAAAGTGATTTGTGCTTTTGGACTTTGCCATCTTGCTGGTGCTGTAAAGATGTGCCATAGGAACTCAGCAGCCTAGGACCTCGAGGCCAGCAGGATGAGATGAAGGAGCTCATGCTGGGAGCTCGCCCTCTGCCCCACTCTCAAACACAGGCTGTTCCTAAGGAAATGGAAGCTGAAGGATTTGGGGAACTCAATTTCCCCTCCCCTACTACGTACATCCTTAGGCATGGCTGGCAAATAGCAGGGACTGATGACAATCTAGGGTGGTCTGGGTAATCTCACCTAATAGCCTCAGAAGCTCTTCAGTATTTAGAGAGAGATAATTAAGGAAGAAGTTGGAGTGTTCTATTGTCTTTATATCCCCATCCCCTAGCACAGTGCCTGGCACATAGTAGGCACTCAAAAATGCTTGTTGAGTTGAAGAGGGTAGTACTCCTTCAGGTGTAGGCTATTAAAGGGGGAAAGGGAACAAGCATTTATTGAGTACCTATCATGTGCCAGGCTGGAGAAGGAAATGGCAAACCATCCTAGCATCTTTGCCAAGAAAGACTAGGAAGAATCAGACGTGAATGAACAACAGTGACAACGTGCCAGGCGCTGTGCTCAAGGCTTTAAAATTTTACTTCATTTGATCCTCACAACAACCCTGGGAGGGAGGGGAGGGAGGTGCTATTATTAATCACATTTTACAGTTGAGGACATTGAGGCAATCAGAGGGTAAGTGACTTGCCCAGAGTCACATAGCTAGTAAGTGTGTGAGACTGGGTTTGAACTCAGGTCTTCTTGACTTTAGGCCTGGTACTCACTCTATGCACAGAACAAAACCTGCTCCCTGGGCAAGCCCTTCTGAGGCCAGAGGTTGGCAGGAGTGGTGAGTGCCAAAGAGGAATAAATAACAGCAGCGTAGAAGGTCCTAGTGGAACACTGCATCATAACACTGCTATAGAAGAGCTGCCAGACAGGGCCATGCTGGAAGGCTTCTTCTTAGAGCTGGTGAGGAGTGCACTTAGAGACAGAAGAAATTTTGTCTCAGAAGAGGATTCTGGTTTTGCTTTAGGGCAATGCTTGGCACTAGCTACAAAGCAGAAAGAATCAAGCTTGGTTACAGCTGCTGGGATTAGCCGGTAAGGGGACCTGAAATCGTGTTCTACGACGGAGAATCTACAAAGACCTTTGGGAGGTGGCCACTTCTTGAAATATGCGGTTTGATTTCCAAGCATTCTGTTTTGTGTTCTCTTTGATCCTTCAATAAAACCCTTCTTTCATTTTGTGCACTCTATGTGTGAGGAGAAAGTATCCTGGATGGTAACAGATAATGAATTTTCTGGCTGGAGGCCATGAGTCAGAGATGTGAAAACTCCCCCCCACTGTGAACCCTTTTGAGACTCTATTTTATATATAGGTGTATATGTACAGATAGTTATAATTTTGGCATCAAAATGTGGTTCTTGTATCAAGGCCTCTATGTTGCCATTGGAAGTAATTATAGAGTTTTTGAGCGTTACCCAACTTTTCTTTAAATCAGTCTGGGATAATGCCCACTGACAAAGCCAGGCAAAGTCTCACCAATGCTTGCGTACAGGCCAACATTACCAAGAAAATTCAGCTACTGGAGCTTCTTCTCAGCCACAGGGAACACATACAAAGTTCAGGTTTAGGCTGTAACATGCAATGGAAATCCTGAGTATTCCCACACTGCTTACTGAATCAGTTCCAAGTTCACCATGGCATCTGAGGTGATTCTCATGACATTGTTCAAAATCCACTGATAAATAAGATCTATGGAGATGTTATATCCATTCATCAGATATGATTCATCCCAGCTGTCATGTATTGTGAATCAATGTACCCTAAACTGGCAGTATTTCAGAGATGTAAGTTTGGGGTATAATCAGATGATTACAGAATTTCAACTCCAGTACCCCTCAAATTTCTGTCATCATAGGTCATAGATGTTTAAGCTCAACGAAGGTCTCTTAGACACACTTTTAGTCCAATCCTCTCAGTTTTCAGTTTTCAGATGGGGAAACTGAGGCACCAAGAGGTTAAAGTGACTTGCCCAGAATCACATAACAAGTATCTGAAGTGATATTTGAACACAGGTCTTCCTGACTCTAAGTTTTGGTCCTCTATCCATTGTAGTATATCACCTCTTTTCAATATTCTCTGGGGGGGGGGGTTAATCAGAGATTTTCTGATAGTGTACCCCAGGCCATATGTAGAGGGGCTGTGACCATTGGAAGGAAAGAGAAATATGAAGGTAGCATCTAAATTAGTTAACTGGCGTAGAAATGTAGCTGACTTCTTTAAGACCTGAAAAGAGAAAATGTTTTAGTCAGACAGGCATCAATTCTGTATCTTTCCTTGCTCTACAGAAACAGTATTTTCATCCATTTGATGTCTTAGTCCTCAAAGAAGGAAATAACCTAATTTTTATCCTGTTTTGTCTAAGATTCTCCAATTTTAAATATTATATCCATCATATCAATCTCAGACTCTTAGAGGGAGGAATGAAGGAAGAAAGGGAGAAAGGAAAGGCAACAAGAGCCTACTATTTAATTAATTTTTAAAAAATCTATTTTTAGTTTTCAACATTCACTTCCATAAGATTTTCAGTTTTAAATTTTCTCCCCCTCCCACTTCCTCTAGCCCCACCCCTACCCCCGATGGCATACAATTGGATACATTCATGTTAAGCATATTTTCCCATTAGTCCTGATGTAAAGAACAACTAGAACTAATGGGAGGAACCATGAGAGTGAAGCAATAAAACAAAACAACAAAGGAAAAGGAGAGAGCAAATAGTATGTTTCCATCTGCATTCAGATTCCATGTTTCTTTCTCTGGGTGTGGATAGCAATTTCCATCATGAATCTTTTGGAGATGTCTCAGATTCTTGCATTGCTGTGAAGAGCTAAGTCTATCAAAGTCAGTCATTGAACAATGTGGCTGTTACTTCACACAATGTTCTCCTGGTTCAGCTCATTTCACTCTGCGTCGGTTCATGTAAGTCCAGGTTTTTTTGAAGTCTGCCAGCTCATGATTTCTTATAGCACACTAGTGTTCCATTACATTCATATACCACAACTTGTTCAGCCATTCCCCAGTTGATGGGCATCCCCTCAATTTTCAATTCTTGGCCACCACAAAAAAGCTGCTATAAATATTTTTGTACATGTGGGTCTTTTTCCCTCTGGGAGGGGGAGAAGATTTAAAACTCAAAATCTTATGGAAGTGAATGTAGAAAACTAAAAGTAAAGAAATTAAAATTTTTAAAATGGTTTAATTTTGTATTAAATCAATTGGCAAAATTTTTAAAAAATTGGTTGTAATCCAAGCTCCTCTTGTGGAATATTGTATTCCATGCCCTCTGATCTTTTAATGTAGAAGCTGCAAGGTCCTGTGTAATCCTGATTGTGGTTCCATGATATTCAAATTGCTTATTTCTGGCTGCTTGCAGTATTTTCTCTTTCATCTGGTAGTTTTGGAATTTAGCTACTGTATTCCTTGATATTTTCAATTTGGAATCTTTCAATGTCTCGCCTGGATCTATTTTCCAGGTCAGTTGTTTTGCCAATGAGATATTTTATGTTTTCTTTTGTTTTTTCATTCTTTTGTTTCTGTTTGACTGATTCTCGCTCTCTCATAGAATCATTAGCTTCCATTTGCCCAATTCTAATTTTTAAGGAAATTTTCTCCCATTAGATTTTGTATCTACTTTTCCATTTAGCCCATATTACTTTTTAAGGAGTTCTCTTCAGTGAATTTTTGTGCTTCCTTTTCCATTCAAATTTAATTAATTACTTAATTTAATTAAGCACCTACTAGGTACTGTTTTAAGTTTTAAGCGCTTTACAAATATCTTATTAGATCCTCACAACAACTCAGGGAGATAGATACTATTATCATCCCCATTTTACAGTTGAGGAAACTGAGGCAGATGGTAGTTAAATGACTTTCCCAGGTCACACTGCTGGTGTCTGAGTCCACATATTAACTCAGGTCTTCCTGACTCTAGGCTCAGCATTCACTGTACCACCTAGCTGCCTCAAGGGCCAACAGACAAAGATGAAAGCCATTAATGGAAGACTTTAAGAAGGCCATGACAATTTTTAAAATGGTTTTGTCAGTCATCTTATAGCATATGAACTAGAGTCAGTGTGGCCTTTATCTAGGACACAGCTGACCTACCATCAATGGAGGGTATGCTCTTGGACATGTTTTTCTGGTAACGTCCCAGCTCTCTCACCCAGTATCCCTTGAGGTTAAATAGAAACATTCACAGGATGGCTGGGTGGGATGAGTCCACAGTTTGCAGCCATAGAGAGCCCAAGTCATTGACCTGTATTAGGGACAAAACCCATGATCCTGAAATTGTAAGTAGTATTCTCTAACTAACCAAACAAACCAGCTGCAGAAATATTAGAACTGAAAGCAAACAAACCCAAAACTTGACAAAAGTACAGAAAATCTTATATGGCCATTACATTTAAAAAGAAACAGTATAATTATCTCATTGGGTCAAGAGAAAGGGAGAGGGGCAGGCCTTAGTAAACAATCGTTGGGCTGAAGGGTCAGGGATTTACAGCTTTACCGATTCTAATCAAGCAATAAATGATAGTACCAGGGATGAGAGCTTGGAAAAGGGAGTAACAAAATTACTCTGACATTCCTAGTCCAGACCCATAGGAGTGACAATCTGCTGCATAGACGGATGAGAATGATACAGCTCTGGGCACTACTGAGTTACTAGGCAACTGCATCTGTAAGCTTCATCCATGGGGAAAGAAGGAATTTCCTACAAGTGCTAATAGAAAACTCCAGGAAACTTTAATGATCTGAAACTCACAACAAGCCCATCGAGCAGAAAGAATATTGGACTAAGAATTAAGAGACCCAGATTCTACTCCAAGCCCTGCCACTAACTCACTGTGAAACCTTGAGTAAGTCACTTAAATTCTCCACACCATTGTTTTCTCATCTATAAAATGAGGGAGTTGGGCTAAATGATCTCTAAATTCCCTTCCAGCTCTGAAATTATATGATTCTTGGTAAAGCTGTGAGTGAAAGATATAGCTATGTGACCCTGGGCAAGTCACTTAACCTAGTTTGCCTCAGTTTCCTCCTCTGCAAAATTATCTGGAGAAGGAAATGTCAAACTACTCAAGTATCTTTGCCAAGAAAACCCTAAATGGGGTCATGAAGAGTTAGTCATAACTAGAACAACTCACTCCACTTACCTGATTGTTTTCTTCTGTAAACAAAAATTCCCAAACCAATCAGAAATAAGACAATAATAGTCAACCCAAAAACAGTTTCCACAAATGGAGAGCTGGTCTTTGACTCTGAAATGAAACAAACAAAAAACAAAAGAAGAACATCCCCAATCCCTTTCCTTCCCTTACAGACTTGGAATGTTTTTCTTATGACCTATCAGAAAAATCAAGACTATTCCTTTAACGATACTCTCTCACCATCAGCTTCCCTTGTAGGCCAATAAAACTAGAAGACAACCTACGGAGCATTGGCCTGAAAACAATATTCCATTTTCCCTCTAGCAATCTAGTAACTTCTAAAAACCGTTCACTATATCCTTACCAACCGGCACTTGGAGGACCTTCAGCGTGTCATTATGCTCCACCTGGCAGGAATAATGATCTTTACTTTGAGGATCAATCTCTATTGATACCCAGGTCTGATAGGTTCCATCCCCACTGGGAAGAATGTCTCCATATTCAATTTCTTGGGTTATTGGTTCCCCATTTTTTATCCAGGTCATGGTAATCTCTGGGGGGTAGAAACCATAGGCTCTGCAGATAAGAGTTGTAATCCCAGTAGATGACTTTTTGCGGCTCCCACTGAGTAATGGGGTTTCTGAAAAGAAAAAAGAAATAATCTGAAAAAGGAGAAAGTTTTCTTTCCTTTGCTGATTCTACAATGTTCTAATATCCCCAAACCATTCTCCATCAGCTTTTAGACAATTATATGAGGGAACCCATCACCAGCAAGGACTCCAAACCAAGGTAAAATCGCATCAAACCTTTGACTGCAGATACATAGGGGAAGCTAGCTGGTCAAGATGTTTCTGATTTTCAGCTTGCCTCCTTACAGTCTCCTGTGAATTTCTCTTTGGGTAAGATTGGGGCCTCTCTCTTAATTGAGCTCTCGCAGCAAGAGAACGCATGCATTCTGTGTGTTTTCAAGTAGTTTCAATTTCTGTTTGATGTCTGCTTCTTTGTCAGTCTTTCATACAATCAGAGTTTGGCAGAAAGGGACAAGGAAGTGTGTTTGAGTCCCCTCCCCCTTTAAGGGAGGCAAGCAGGGGAAGTAAGTGACTTTTTATTCTGAACCAATCATGCTCCCAGAAAAGCAGGATTTAAGTAGATAAAATTCGAGTCTAGTACCCCATCTCTCGAGAAAAGAACAGCTAGCCTGGTAACCCCTCTCTGGCTCCCTTCAAGTCAGGGTAGGCAAGATTCTAGAGTTATCTACCAATGCCTCCTCCCTCATGATACCTATCTATACCTTTAGACATCCCATCTGGCCATAGACATCCCATATGGATAGCATGTGTCTTTCATATATGCCATCTCTAAATACTTTCCTTGAAACCAGGGAATACCCAGATGTCAAATATGCAGAACTTCATCTTACTAGTCTGGCAGGAATGCTGATGGCTGATTGCCAAGACTAAGTGGCAGAGTCCTGGTCCCCAGGAGATTGACTGGTTGGCTACCTACATGGTAAGATTTGGGGCAGCAAGGAAGAGCATCCTATCCACAAAAAGTTCTTCTGTGCCTGCCTCCTGATGCCTCAGATGTCCTTAACAAGGGATGAGGCTTTTTGTTCACAGTTAGAGATAAGGCTAAAAATGAGAATCCCTTTAAGAAAGGGAATGGTCATTAAACTTGTCACTAAACTCCAGCTGACAGAAACCACAATCTGCACTCTGAAGATCCATTGCTACTGATTCTCAGGACTAGCAAATGGCCATTGGTAAATGCTTTCCTTAAAGCAGGTTCAAGTAAAGGGCTGGAGGAAGAACACATTAATATCCTGCAAGTGAAAGAGAGATGCAAAGGGAAGGTTTAAAGAGAGAAATTGGATTGTGATGATTACTGTAAGGCACAATTTGGCAAAGATACAAGAGTGGTTTGCCATTGCCTTCTCCAGTCCATTTTAAAGATGAGGAACTGAGGCAAAAAAGGTTAAGTGACTTATCCAGGGTCCAATTGTGACTGATCAGACCAATATGAGATTGGAAGGGTCTACCACAGGTTGGGTAACATTTGGAGTGGAGCTGCATCTAAGGTTGCGTATCTCAGAATTCTTTTGAGCTACTGAAATTCTGCTGTACTCATAGAGCATGGTGCCTTCTTTGATGCAGACTTGCCATGTGGGGCGGTGCTGTGCCAGTGTCTCCCATATCTCATAATTGATTCAAAAGTTCTTCAGAGAGACCTTGAATGTCCTTGCATCACTTCTTCTGATCTCTATGTGAGCGCTTGCCTTGTGTGAGTTCTCCATAAAATAGTCTTTTAGGCAAATGTACTTTTGGCATTCAAACCACCTGACCAGCCCATTACAGTTGTACTCTCTGCAGTAGAGTTTGAACTCTTGGCAGTTCAACTTGAGAAAGGACCTCAGTGTCCAGTACCTTATCTTGCCAGGTGATCTTTAGAATCTTCTAAGACAGTTCAAGTAGGAGTGATTCAGTTTCCAGTCATGGCACTGGTATACAGTCCAGGTTTCACAGGCATGCAACAATGAAGTTAGCACACAATGGTTCTGTAGACCTTCAGTTTGGTGGGTAGTCTAATACCTCTTCTATGCCACACTTTCTTTTTTTTCTCCCACACATTCTTTTTGGAGCCTCTCAAATGCTGAGCTAGCTCTGGCAATGTGTGCATCAACCTCATCCCTCATCATCTATGTATATATCCCTAGAAAGAATACCACCAAAGTAAGTGAAATTGTCCACAGCATTCAGAATTTCTCCATTTGCTGTAACTGATGGTTCCGCATATGGATAGTGTTGTGATGGTTGGTGTAGGGTCTCTGTTTTCTTAGTGTTAATTGTCAGGCAAAAACTAGCAAAAGAAGCATAGAATTTATCCATACTCTTGCATCTCAGCCTCAGAGGCAACACTGGGTGCACAATCATCTGTGAACAAAAAGTCATGCACCAATTCTCCCTCCACTTTAGTCTTGGCTTGTAGCCTTTTAAGTTAAATAATTTGTCATCAGTGCCGTAACTGACCTTGATGCTGTTTTCATCCTCACTGAAGGTTGAAATGCTTTCATCCTTGTTGAACATCATAGAAAACATCATGTTAAAAAGCATGGGAGCAAGCACACAACCCTGCTTCACTCCATTGGTGACTGGGAAAGCTGGTGAACATTGTCCATTATCTAGAACCTGGGCAAGCATGCCATCAAGAAACTGACATACAATACTGATGAACTTCTCTGGGCAACTGAACTTTGCCATGGTCTTCCACAAGCCCTCACAACTGACAATATCAAAAGCCTTCATTAGACTGACAAACATTGTGTACAGACCTGTGTTCTGCTCCTGGCATTTCTCCTGGGGTTGTTGAGCACCAAACACGATATTGACCATTCCTTGGCCCTTTCTGAGACCACACTGGCTCTCAGGTAGATGACCATCTTCCAGAAGAAGGACCAGCCTATTAAGGAGGACTCTGGCAAGAATCTTGCTGGCAATGACTAAGAGAAGGACTCCCCTGTGACTGTGTCACACAGCTGGTAAGTGTCTGAGACCAGATTTGAACTCATGAAGATGAGTCTTCCTGACCCCAAGCTCAGTGCTCTACCCACTGCGCCACCTAGATTCCCTATTATAATTCTAAGTTACAAGGAGTTACTGATCTGTGTCCCTGAAGGACGTTTCCACAGGGGAGTTCCCCATACAAATAAAATCACAAGCCCGTAGTTTCCTCATCATCAAAAGTGGAATCTACACATTGTTGGGAAACTTAAGTAAGATTTCCTTGGTGACTAAACAATACTCCAATGGTCAGAAAAAATGAACTGCCTTCCAAAGGGTCCCCTTACATGACTTGGAGATAATGGAAGAATTTCATTCATTGTTTCTCTAAAGAGGAGGAAGCAACCTACCTGGAGGATGATGACTCAGTCAGGATGAGAGGACTCTGATTCAGAACAAAAGTAAGTATTTATAGGAAGTGACAAATAATAGTGAAAGTCTGAAGGAAGTGAGGGGCGTTAGGACTGAGCATGAGGTAAGCTAGAGGAAGTTACAGAGGGGCCCTGGGTTTGAGTTCCAGACCTGCCACTGGCTGGTTATGCTAGGCAAGTCACCCCTCTGGCCCCAAGTTTCCTCATCTGTAAAGAAGAAATTATTATCACTTATACTATCTATCTTACAGGGTCATTATTTCTTTCAAAGCTCTATAAATATGCAAATTATAAATCCAAGGGAAGGTAAAGGAAAACCAGTCTAATCTTCATTCTTACCTGTCCGTTGGAGGGTATCTTTTCCAAACTCCAGGAATTTCTTTAACCAGACAATGCATTCTGTTTCCAGCCAATTCTTCTGATACCGTAACTCATTCCGGTTGGTCTCCCAGACCTGCTTGGTGAGTCTGGCCACATTATCCACAGCAATCCAAGACAGAGAGTCCTTATTGAAAATGATGAAATCCTTTCCATCATATGCATACTGGAGAAATCCTGTGGCACTACCATCCTCTAGTAACTCACAGCCAATCATCCTCTGGTAGGTGTGAAATCCTGAAATCCACAAATGTAGTCAAGACTGGTGGAACATGAGAACATGAGAACGTGGCTATAGTCCGAGGGGCACGGCTCAAGGGCTTTCCTGACCTATTGGAAGACTTATGGGTTGTACCACTCCCATCAATGAAAATATTAATTTATTCCTTTGGGTTAAGGTATTTTTTTGATAAGTAATCCTTGTTAAACCAAACAAAAAGTTATATATCATTAACTAGGATAAAAGTAACTAACACCTATATGTATATTATTTTAAAATTTGTGTAGAAATTATCATCTGAATCCCCCATGACCTTGAGAGAGGCAGGCTGGCATACAGATAAAAGTCCAGCCATGAAGGCAGGAAGACGTGGGTTCAAGTCCTACCTTCGATGCTTTTCACAGCTGTGTGCCCCAAGGAGCTCTAGAATTATTAGGTATAGAAAAATTGCAATGGTAGGAGTTTTTATACCAGGCATCCCACGTACCAGTGAAATACTGATCAAGACACACAGGGGTAGCTAGGTGGCACAGTGATTAGAGCACTAGCCCCAGAGTCAGGAGGACCTGAGTTCAAATGTAGCCTCAGACACTTACTAGCTCTGTGACCCTGGGCAAGTCACTTAACCCTGATTGCCTCCAGCAAACAAATAAACAACAATGACAACAAAAATGCCATCCAAGGTTTTGTCCTGGGCATTAATGTTCTTTCCCCTTGGTGATCTCCCTTCAACTCTCACCTGTGCACAGATGATTCTCAGTCCTCTATCTTCAGTTCTTATATCTTTCCTGAACTTCAGACCCATACCTGTCCACCCATGAGGCTGCTTCACCTGGCTTACCTGTTGGCACCTTAAATGAGCTTATGCTTCTCCCCAAACATGCTTCTCCTTCTGACTTTACTTTTTCTCTCCGTGGTGCCTTCATTCACTTAGTCTCCTATTTTTGAAATCTTGATGTTAGGTGGAAGTGTTCCTTTCCCCTACCTTGCATATCTAATCTGTAACTACACGTCCTTATAAAGGCACTGTTGGAGAATGCTCTCCCGGGGCATAGGCATCAGTTTTGCTCTACTCACCTCCAGTATGATTGTAATGATTCTGCAGGGCCCTCAGTTCGACTTTAAATGTCTGCTGCCAGCCCCTCAAAAGCTGAGTATACTTCTCCCAGTGATCAGATACCAAGTTCTCTTCCATCCAAGGGGCCTGGGGCATCTTCTGTCTTCTATCACTGTCATATGAAGTGATAGGATGAGAATCCACATAGCCAACTGAAATGAATTCAGGGATCCCTTGGCTGGAATCAGAGACCCCCAGGCGAAAATATCGCAGAGAGTGAGTCCCTGAAGGAGCAAAAAAGAGAGAGATGTTTTCATTTGTATTTTTCAATTAACCAGGCATTTTTTTCCCTTTCTCTCCCACCTTTCCCTCTCCACTGGAAAAAGAAAAAAGAAAAAGAAATGCTTGTAACAAATATACGTAGTCTAAACAAATTCTCACTAAATATGCAGAATAAGACACCTATTGGGTGGCTTATTCTGGGTTATTTAGTCTGTCATTTCTCTGTCAGGAAGTGGGTAACATTTATCATCTGTCCTGTGGAATCATGGTTCATCACTGTGTTGATCTTAAGTTCTCAAATCTTTCAAAGTTGTCACCGCTATTATTGTATATTATTCTCCTGATTCTGCTCAATTCATTCTGCATCAATTCATACAAGTATTCTTAGATTTCTCTGAAACTTTCTCTTTCATCATTTCTTATAACACAATAGTAATTCATTGTATCTATGTACCATAATTTGTTTAGATATTCCCCAATTGATGGGTATCTCCTTAGTTTCCAGGTCTTTGCCACCACAAAAAAGAGCTGCTAACAAATGTTTTTGTGCATATAAGACCTTGACCTTTTCCTCTTTCTTTTATCTCTTTGGGATATAGGCCTAGTAATGTTATTACTCCATCAAAGGGTGGGCATAATTTAGTACCTTTTTGTCACAGTTCCAAATTGCTTCTAACCAATTAATCATAGTCAAACATTTATTTATTTTTTCTTTTCTTTCTTTTTTAGGCATTTGGGGTTAAGTGACTTGCCCAGGGTCACACAGCTAGAAAGTGTCAAGTGTTTGGTCTGGGGCCAGATTTGAACTCAGGTCCTCCTGACTTCAGGGCCGGTGCTCTATCTGCACCACCTAGCTGCCCCAGTCAAACATTTATTAGGCATGCGTTATGTGCCTGGTACTATGCTAAGTGCTGCGGATACAAAAAGAGGTAAAAGCCAGTCCCTGCCCTCGAGGACCTTACAATCTGGACCAATTTCACAGTTCTACCAATAGTGGATCAGTATACCCTTTTCACCTCAGCCTCCCCGACACTTGTCATTTTCATTTTTTGTCAACTTTGCCAATCTGATTGGGAGATGCTTATTAAAAACAAAATATACTTGGAGTTGTAGATGCTCTATATCCATAAAATAGATTTTAATGTGATATCATCTAAAATTCCCCTACTTTCCCATCTATATTCATAAACCATAAGACCGAGGGATGAGAGACAATAATTTCAGGCACTATTAGATTATTGTTAGATTGGAACCGTGATTTCACCGGTTCACTGGAACATCCAGGTGGAATCTATTGACCCAAAAGCCCAGCTCATCTGTAATGCATAGTCTTTGCAGCCTAAGACACAGAGAAATTAAATAACTTGCCCATGGTGACACAGTGGATGTGTCAAAGGTGAGACTTGAACCCTGGTCTTCCAGACAAAGACCAGAAGCTCTTATTCACTGTGTTGTACTGCGTCTTGGACTACAGGTTGAGGCTAGAAAAAATTAAACAAACCAAAAAAACAAAACAAACAAAGAAACAAAAAACCCCAGACTTTTGTTAGCTTGTGGCGTAATGCGGCAGACAGAAATCCAAACCTCAATCTGTGTCTCTGGCCCCCAAGATCCTCACCAGCTTCTGGCTGGTGTCAGAAGATCAAGAACCCATTCACTTCCAGAAAACAGAGGCAGGAAGAAGGAAGAAGGGATCTGCTAGCTATGAAGAAAGTTTTTGGGGATTTAGCTCAATGCAGTACCTAGCATAGGTTTTGAACCAAGATAAGCTTTCCTGTTCCCTTTCTTCCTCCAATTGACAGGGCACAGGCCCAAGCTGAGACCTTTGCCCTTCACCCCAAAAAAGAATTTGGGTCCTATTTGTCTATGGGACTTTCTTTGAACTCTCCTACTTGATCAAGGAAGTCTACATTGCTTGCTTGAGTCTATAATCCTATCAACGGGCCTTTACTTATCACCTACACCCAATCTCCCAGTTCTTTGTTACCCTTAATTTAGCCTATCTCCCCATAGTCCGTTACCTCCTAATTGCCCCTTTCCACTTCCCACTCTTAATCCTATGTAGACTCCATTCTCCCTTGGCCAGGTCCAGGTCCCTGGCTTTCTGTTCACCCCAGTTTACTGGCCACTCCCATCCAGATCTTCCTTAGACCCCTCCCTCAGTCACCCCAAACTACTCAGCTACTCCTAGATCCCTCCCACAGTCTTTTTGTATATAAGGTCCATTTTGTCTCCAGATTCCTTAAGAACCTAGACAAGGGCTCAGATTCTTATAATCTATCCAATAGCTCACAAATGTTCAGATTCCTTAAGAGTCTGGCCAATATGGCAGATCCTTAACAAATCTTGTCTTTGACTGAAAGAAGGTTTGGGTCGAATTCATTTGGAGAGTTACCCGAGTGTCATGATTTTGGGGTGCCAATACACGTAAGCCTCTAAACCTCAACATAATCACCTATCCCTCTTTCTCACCTTCTTCACTTCTCTTTTCCTCTATGACACCTATATTGTCAGCTCCTCTTGTCACTTAAGACCTTTCCTCTTCTCCTATTCTTTTCCTCATGCCCTTGCCTTATTTCCCCACACACCGCAGTTATCCTAGTCCAGGTCTGCTTTACCTCCTACCTAAAGTGTTTAAATAAATTGGTCTTTCAGCCTCCAGTACCTCTTTTAATCCATCCTTCATCAGATGCCAGTGGAAATGTTGCAGTCTGAGAGGTTCAGAGACCCCTCAAAGACCAGAGTACAGGATGAAGTCGTCTGGAATGAATTCACAGACTCAAGTGTTCTTTAAGTCAAGTTGGCAAAGATTTACTGTTACACTTTTCAGAGGGCAAGGCTTCTTAAGGAACCTATGACCTTAAAGGGGTTCAGTTAAAGTTTATATAGGATAAACTGCAGAAAACATGTGCCAAATGTGCTAGAGGTGATATGGAGCAGGATTAGGGAGTGGTTTATAAGTGGTCCATTCTTAAAGGAACATGTGCTTTTGGTATCTCCCGCGAAGGTGTTTTAGCAGTCAGGGCCAACTGAGGGTTGTCCAGTCTGCCACCAGTCAATGTCTTGTTTGACAAGATATATGTAGGGAGTATACATATGTCTTAAGTCTAGAATACACATAATGAGGAGTCCAGGATGCAGATAATGAGGTAGGGAGTTGGTATAGATAGTCCAGTGGGTATGAATATCTTTATGACCCAGTACAAAGCCAGTTCAAAGTAATAATTCCTTCAGGTACAGTTTGTAACTGCACCAGGGAGAGGGATAAGTGTGTTGCTGAGGCCCACTCATGATTAATTGCTAGGCATAGTGTCCTTGGGCTGGGGAGAAACTGCCAGGGATAATGTTTCTGAGGCTTGGGAGAAATATGGTCTTGGAATTGGGTTCCCAGTACAAGCACCCAAGCACCCCATCAGGTCTGGAATGCACTCCTTCCTCACCCTTGCTTCTTAGAATCTTTAGTTTCCTTCAGAGTTCATTTCAAATAACACTTCCTACAGGAAGCCTTTCCTGATCTTCCCTTCCTTGCTACTGCCTCCTCCTCTGACCCTATTATCTTGTACTGATTCTATATATACATATGTGCACGTATTGTCCCTCTCCCATAGAAGGTAAGCTTCTAATGAGCAGGGACTGGTTCATTTTTGGCTTTTTGTGAGGTGGTGAGAGGTGCTGGCACAACAGGAGAAATTGGTCAATCAGTAAGCATTTATTAAAAGCCTGCTATGTGCCAGGCACTGTGCTAAGCACTAGGGCTATAAAGAGAGGCAAAAGATAGTCCTTGCCCTCAAGGAGCTCAGCTCAAACTGCTATGGGAGACAACAAGCAAACAAATATGTACAAATAAGCTATATACAGGATAAATCAGAAATAATTAAGAGAGAAAAGACACTAGAATTAAGAAGGGTTAGGAAAGGCTTCCAATAGAAGCCTACAGACTGGCCCCCAACCCAGCACCCTGGCACATAGTAGGTCCTTAAATGCTTGTTGATTGAATAATTTGACAAAATTTAAAAAAAATGAAAAGTAGCCATGTGTGTTTAAAGAAACTGCTTTACATATTTTTGCAAACCCTGTTGTTTTACACTTTTATGAATGTGTGGTCTCACTGCCTTGGACGTTCCTTCTAAGAATGCAAACTGAAATCCATCCGTGTCTGCTTGCATTGGGCACCTCTTATTCACACCGTGTCACCAGGCCACACAGAACTTCACCTTCCTGCCTTCGTCCTGATAGCCCGAGGATACCACTGGTGCTCTCAGACTGTCAGTAGGCCATCTCTGATCCTAGATGCCAGGACTGGTTCATCTTGTTTTTCTCTCACTTGTTTCCTCTATGGCATCTCTGGATCCATTTCTCCTCTGACATCCCTCTCTTGTAAGCCTGCTTGTAACCACCATGAGCTTCCCCACCGCCCTCTGATACTCATCGCCAGTTCTTCAAGACTCTTGTGTTCCAGGTCTCGCGGCCATAGAACAATCCATGACACTCTTTATGCGACATTTAAAAATACATTAAAAGTTAAATTCTGTTACAGTGGCTTCCTCCCTTTCCTGTAAGGCAGGCTAGCTAGAACAGGTCCATCCCATGTTTGCTAAGTCTGTCAGTGCCACAGGCAAAGGGACTAATTGTATGCAAATTTCTAAGTGGCTGATAGCCAAGGGGAGGTTTCCAGAAAATTAATAAGTTGTCTGTGAAATTTCCTTCTGATTGGAAAAGGACCATTTGGGGGCTTTCTTGAAGGCAAGTATATTATGTGTCTGTGTGGTGGGTTTTTTTTTTTGTTATTGTTTTATCCCGAACCTTGAGAGGAAGGGGGAAAATATGAGATCTAAAAGAAAAAGCAAGGTCTTTGCCCTGAGAAGATGTAAGCAAGAAGTAGTCAGGGATATTTTGCTAGAATGAAGATGGAAACCTAAAGCACAAAAAAGGCTGCAGAGTTTTCAATATAGATATGATCAGGCTAGCTAGCTAGGATCACTGAGAAATCCCAAACAAATGA